TTAGTAGACGAAGTCAACAAGACAGTGTCGTCTGCATACAATGCTAAGGTGCAATTAAATTTCGACGGTATGTCGTTTATGTAAATATTGAAAAGGATTGGTCCAAGTATGGATCCTTGGGGCACTCCGGCCAACACATTCCTGGTAGTCGAGGCAATCCCATCAGCTTTAACATAGAAAGTTCGTTCAGAGAGGTAGTTGTGAATCATTAAAACTGTTTTATGATGAAACCCTAGTAGATGAAGTTTATATATAAGAGCGTGATGCCACACTGAATCGAACGCCTTTGCTAAATCAAGCAGAACCATGACGGTAAACCTATTGGTATTTAATGCATTTGTAATTTGTTGGGCTATTCTGATAATCTGATGGAGTGTGGAATACGACCTACGAAAGCCAAATTGTTGGTTTATCAATATGCCGTTTTTTTGTAAATGGCTGTGAATTTCATACGAGATAACAAGTTCGAGCGTCTTTCCAAGGATTGAAAGCAAGCTGATGGGCCTGTAACTCGAAGCCTTGTCACAAGGCTTACCCGGTTTGTGTATGGGTGACACCTTTGCAATCTTCCAGATCTTGGGAAAGTAAGAATTTACCAGACAGTACTTGAAGATGTAGTAAATCTGGACTATTATTTTGTCCGAGGCCTTTTTCAACATCAATACTGAGATCCCATCCTTCCCGGGAGCCTTATTGTTCCCAAATCTTTTAATAATGAATCTGATGTCATACGGAGCAAAGTCCCCAAGGGGATCCCAGTGATCATCTCTTACAGTGTGTAATTTATTTATGAATTGATCGACCTGCGCCTGAACCGGCGAAGCAACAGCGCTAGCCTCCGTAAAGACCTGCTCGAAACGGTCAGCGAGAATCTCAGCTTTTTCCTGCGCCGAGACCGCGACGCGAGCACCATCACCAAGACTTGGGAGCGTGGTTTTAGCATACTTGCCCGTTAAAATTTTGTAAGTTGTCCAGAAGGTGGGATCAGTTTTTCTGAAAGAATATAATCTATTATTCCAGTCCTTACTTCTTAGAAAAGGGATTTGCCGTTTGATCTCCTTAGTTAAGTCATGTATAATCAGGTTAAAATACTGACAGACTCCGATGTTCTGATCATGTTTTCTGACACGTCTTCTTCTTCGAATCAAGGCAAGAAGGTACGTATCATTATGCATAAATGCATGTCTGGTTTTTTAAGTATCGATCTTGGTGGTGGATGCTCGCCTCGAGGCGTGCAATTTGCACGTAAAGCTACGGATCTCATCATCGACCTCGCCAGCCGAGTCAAAATTAGTCCTCAGGTCGTAGTTGGCAGTAAGCAACTTGTACTTCTGCCAGTCGGTTTCAGAATCAATGCCGACCTCAGCGTCCAGGGCATCCGGCACGATTCGTAACGGTGTGTGGTCAGAAGGACCAGGATCTAGTGTTTCACACTTGACCGACTGGCTCAGCGATGAAAGAAAAATGTCGAGCGTTGAGGGGTTTACACCTGGTACGAACCTGGTGTAACCTTCGGGATGTATCACCTCATACGCATTATTCATTTGGTGTTTGAAGAGAGTAATCCCACTCCTGTTAGCCTTATTATTGTTCCATGCCCGGTGCTTAGCATTGAAATCGCCGCCTAAAATGAACGGAGACCCTATGACCCTGAACAGACCCTGTGAGGATATCAAGGATTGCAGGAGTGATATTGACCACTGGTGGGACATAGGCAACCCCGACGTAAATTTTTGGGATTGCTAATTTAATGAAGCAGTACTCTATGCCACTTATCCTGTTGACAACAATAGGGGAATGCGGGAGATTTCTGTTAATCAGAATGGCAACCCCGCAACCCCTACCTGAGTCCCTATCCTGCCGATAAGTAAGGAAACCAGGAACGCTAGCAGTATCATTTATGGTTAGATTAGTTTCCATAAGGAGGACAACATCAGGTTGCTCCTTAGTGATTAAAAGCAAAAGTTCGTTTCTATGTTTTTTGAACGACCGTAAGTTCCAAAGTAATATTTTGGGGAAGTCCGGCATTTAATCCAGGCTACTCATTACAGTCAAGAAGACTTGAAATTTTTCCCTATTACTAGAGCAGTTCTTTAGTTTTTCTTAGCACTCGTACGGTGTTAAGCATTAAATTAACATCAACTAAGGCATTTAGAGTACTGAATTCATTGAATAGGTCACTCAGACTCTCACCGGTAGCCTGAGGGGTACGTGGTTCCTTATTACCTGCCTTACCGGAGTTAATATTATTATTTAGGGTATGAACGTTATTTAAACTATGTACGCTTTTGGTACTGCCTTTTAGCGCCTCGGAGTAAGAGATACCCTGCCTGGTTGTTGCCCTAGGGTAAACCTGAGAGTCTAGGGGCTCGACAGGGAATGGCCTGACGCCATTCGGTCTAATATAAGAGTGAGATTTATCCCTGAGCTTAAGATAATTTTCTAAGGACGGACAGCCCGAGAAATTTGCCGTGTGACTTCCTGCACAGTTAACACACTTGGCAGGGGTGTCTCTCGGTTTTTGGCACTCCGACGAGTGATGACTTCCTCCGCATTTTACGCATTTAGGCGCCATATTACAGTTTGTCGCGGAATGACCAAAGGCTTGACACCTGAAGCATTGGGTATAATTTTTGTTCGAATAAAACTTTTCCCAGTACACCCTGATTGAAAAGATATAGCCCACTTTGTTGATCGCACTCAGGCTGGTGCAAGCAGGAAAATTTATCCTATATATAGGTTTGCTGGGAGATTTCCCAATGAGGGATCCAATTAACCAGGATAATCCCGCTCTACGAATCTCATCGAGCACTTCGTTGATAGGAGTGGCTGGCAATCCTCTAAGGGCAACACTGAGCACCCTATCTGAATTTTTTGTAAAGGTGAAAAACCCTTTGTTGTTTTCCTTTAAGAAATTTACGAGTTTGTCATGCGCTTCAATGTTGTTGAATTGAACTCGTATTCCTTTTTTCAATAATTTTAATTTAAAAGATTTTCCACACAACTCCGTCAACTGCTTTTCAAACGCCGAAGCGGAACAGGAAAAATTAGATACAAAAATCGGAGGAACCTTTGCCGAGATCCTTCTCTCCTTTTCAGAATTAGTTTTAATATCTGAATTGATAGTCACATTTATCCCTGGTTCAGGGGTATTTTTACTTGCAGCATGTGAAGCATCATCATTTGAGTCAAAAGCCAATGCAAGCAGGCCGTAACGGTTTGAAGTTGGCACGTTCGGAACCGCCTCCATTTTGTCGACGCTCGGTCCCGTGTACGTGGCGACCGGCGTAACGGATTTTGCGGACTCTTTGTCTAGAGACAAAGAGTTTCTTGGAGAGATTCTCCTCGACATAATTTCTTTTAATTGCGCGGCACTGATTTTAGTTTTTAAACTCATGTCTGATTTGATTAGCCGTTCCGCTGGCACATTAACAAGTTTGATTACTTTATTGCGATGCGCGTAATTTGCTGAACTCACAGCACGAGACTCAGACGTGTCCGAGTCGCAAGGAGAGAAGTACCCGGTCTCGGTATCCCGATCATGAATTTATTGATTAGAAGCAATTGATTCTGTATCAAAATGCCCTACCTTAGTGCTGCTTAAAGCTTCAAGAGCCTTCAACCCGGCAGATGAGGACTCATCCAACCTCCTCTCCTCCTCCTCGAGACCCCTCCGGGTCGAAATGATTGTTGTATTTCCTAAGTTGGCAAAATCAAGCTCATTTACGAGCTGAGTCTCCAAGACCATAGGTCTTTTGAGACTACGGCTAACCTCAGTTGGTTTTTTGAAGTCAGCCGATTTATCGGCCACTTCGGAAAACACTGATGTTATAAACAACTATTAAAAAGCAATTAGAAAGAAAATAGGCACTCCTGGTCACAATGTGGCAGAGACTCACTGATCACTTATGGTCGCACGATGCTCACCGCTCGGCGTTCAGCGAGCGAATGAATCCAGACTAATCCGAAGGGCTTTTTTTTTTTTGTTGGCGATAATTATTGGGAGGTGGAACAGCCCCATCCGAGGTTGGACGACACCCTTATTCAACTTGGACGCAGATCCCTCTCAATACTGCTCCTGTCAGCTGTTGCCAACTTATCAGTAATTCTGAATATTAAATCACTCCCGAATAGCCAGACCACCTGCGCACGTCGACTTTCGGAATCGAAGTGTGATCCAGACTAATCCGAAGGGCTATGGTGTAGAGACCTTTTATACCCAAATGAGACCCTTTCTAGAACCTTCCACGCTTATAGCCTCGCCCCGTGACTCACTTGGGTCAGGGATGCGTACGTGACCAGCAACAAACGTTTTGGAAACGCGCAGAGCCGTATTCGTACACAAGGCTGTATACGTAATACCCGTATGAAAACAAATTCAACGACTTAGATACCATGATCTTCCGATGACCTTCAAGGCAAGGGCGAATACAGTAATTACGAATTTTAATAATTATCATAAGTTATTATCATCCATTCAAGCAGACTATCACTTCTTATCATAATTTTCATTTCTTTACTCATCAGATGGTCGTGGTATCTAGATCGTTGAACTCGTCTTGATACGGGCTATAATATTGTTAAGTTAAAAATACAAAGTGCCACTTAAATAAATGAAGGTGACCTTGACAGTAGTAAAAAAAAATTTTGCTTCCTAACTTTTTTTGTTGCAACGTATAGCCAATCGAAAACTGATCAACTTTTGTTGAAAATATGTTTTTGTCAGATTATCGCGCAAGCACTTGAAAAGTCGTGAAAAATATTACGTGTGTAAAGTTTCTCATGTGCTGGATGTGGAGTCAGAAATAATAATTGTTGAAGATCACTTAAGCTTATATATATCGTAGTCTTTATTAATAGTATCCAAACACGTTCTTAATCCGCTCTCGCTTGCTTACTTTCTGCCATACTGTCAACTTAACTCTACTAATCCTAAACACTACCAACTACTTATCAGTTAACATGACATCTCCTCTCTTAACAATAACGAAATCACATATTCAATCTTTGATTCTGGTACTCCAAACTCTCATGTACATTATATAATCTCCTAGGTATGACGGAGGATTGATCTGTCTTCCGGATCGCGTGACCGTTCTGGGAGACGATCGGCTTTCATACTTGACATCGTTCTCGCATATTTTTTGGGAATCTTTTGTACTCTTATGCGCCTCATTTGATAATTCCAATGTGTTTTTCGTGTTTAAATTAGATTCCATTCTTGCATCATTAAATGGAAAATCATACAAGTGTGCCCTATTATTTACTATTTTGCTACCATTATCAAGCTGAACTTGATATAACCTCGGAGTATCGCGCACATTTGTTATTTTACCTGGTAATAATGGCATATTCAGATCTTTGCGAACAAAAACTCGATTGTTTATATTTAACGGTTCAAGATTGTGCGCATTCTTATCGTATTGTTTTCTCTGAGTTTCTTGTCTTATTTGTAGTTTCTGTTTATTTTTACAGTCGCGATCAATTTTATCCCTTTGTATTCTGATTGGTAATAGTCCACGAGTTTTGTGTCCAAACAATAATTCATTTGGAGATCCGATCTGATCAGAGATCGGAGTATTCCTGTATTCTAATAGAGCTAAACTTGGATCCTTGCGGGACATTTCAAGCTTTTTGAACATGTTTTTAATTGTAGCGATATGTCGTTCCACCATTCCATTTGACTTTGGGTATATTGGGCTGGACGTAATATGTTCAAAGTTCCATGTTTCTGCAAATTCTTTGACATTTATATTATTAAAATGAGTCCCATTGTCTGAAATTACTCTTTTAGGAATTCCAAATATGGAGAAAATTGATTTGAGTTTTGCAACAATTGTGGTACTGTGCATACTCTCCAGTTTCATGACTTCTACAAATTTACTAAAATAATCTATGACTAACAACCATTCAGCATTGCAAAAATGAAATATATCCATGCCCACTGTTTCCCACGGACCATCTGGAATTTGGTGTGGAATCAGAGATTCTTTAACATTTGCTTTTTTGTATGTAGCGCATGTTGGGCATTTATCTACAAGATCTTCTATTTGTTTATTCATATTAGGCCAATACAGAATCTCACGAGCACGAATCTTACATTTTTCTTTCCCTAGATGAGCATAATGTATTTTCTCCAACAGTTGCTTTCTGAACTTCTTTGGTACAACAAGCCTCTGGGCTTTAAATATTAACCCGTCTATTATACTTAATTCCTCGCGGAAACTGTGATACGGTTTTAGAATATCTATTAATTTTGACTTCTCATTTGGCCAACCTCTCTTGATATACTCTACTAAAAGTTGCATTTCTTCATCGATTAGACATTCTCTTTTGAATTCCTCTTTTTTATCTAGTGTTATCGGGAAATTATCCATAAGGAAACATACTTGAGCTTCTATCTCTTCTTCAAGATCATCAGTTCCATTCTGCAGATATGCACGAGATAATGCATCAGCAAGAAGCAATTCTTTACCGGGTTTGTATCGTATTACAATGTCAAAATTTTGCAATGACAGTCTCATTCTAAGCAATCTTGGGGGACATTCATTAAGAGGTTTATTAAATATCGCTTCGAGTGGTTTATGGTCGCTTTCTACAGTGACTGTTTTGCCAAAGATATATTGTCTAAATCGATTACATGCAAAACTAATAGCCAATGTTTCCTTTTCAATTTGAGCATAATTTTTTTCTGTGTCTGTCAATGATCTACTGGCATAGGCTACTGGTAAGTTTTCTTGTAGAATGACAGCACCTAATCCATTCTGTGAAGCATCAACTGAGAGTGTCACTGGTCTTTGTACGTCGAAGAACTTGAGTACTGGTTTATTTATAAGCTTCGATTTCAGTTCATTGAATGCTTTCTCCGCATTTGAATCCCAGTTCCATATTACATTTTTTTTCGTTAAATTACGCAACACGGCATTGATACTCGATAGATTAGATATAAATTTCCCAACGTACGTGACCATACCCAAAAAACGTTCCAATTCTTGCTTGTTGCTCGGTGCTCTCATTTCAACGATTGCTTTGATTTTCTCGTCACTGGGTTGAATTCCTTTTTCTGTGAATATGTGGCCTACATATTTTACTTGTTTTACACCAATATTACATTTCTTTGGATTAAATCTTACACCCCTTTCTTCAGCTCTCTTTAACACTTTCCTTAGTCTTTCATCATGCTCTTTTTCATCCCTTCCCCATACTAATAGATCATCTATGTAAATTTCTACTCCTTCAATGTCTCCGAACACCTCACTGAAACATCTTTGAAATACCTCCGATGCAGATGAGATCCCATATGGCATTCTTAGAAATCTGAACCTTCCAAATGGAGTACTGAAAGTTACCAACTCTGTACTTCTTTTTGCCAATTTTATTTGCCAAAACCCTTTATCAGCATCTAATGTACTAAATATCTTTGCTCCAGATATTCTTGCACAAATTTCTTCAAAAGTTGGAATTTGAAAGTACTCCCTTTGGATGTTTTTATTCAAATTAACAGGGTCTAAACATAGCCTTAATGAATTATTAGGTTTTCTAACTATTACAAGATGATTAACCCATTCTGATGGTTCTTTAACCTCGCTTATTATTCCTTGTTCCTTCATTTTCTCCAGCTCCAATTTCAAAGGCTCCAAGATAGCTATGGGAACTTTTCTGCATGGCATTATACAACCTCTCGCATTCTTGTTTAATTTTATTTCATATTCAAAATCACTTATACATCCTATTCCGTTAAACACCTTTCCATATTCATCCATTATGCGCGTTTTATTAAGACTTCTTTCAATTGTGTCAATTCTTTTTATAAGGTTTAAATTTGTTAGAGAAGGTAACCCTATAATTGTAGGAACGTCTTTCTTTTCATCTATGACAATAAATTCGAGTACTTGGTCATTTCTGTTTTTGAATTTGCATGTTAGATTGCACTTGCCAAGCACCTCAATTGATTTACCTCCATAAGCACTTAATTTAACATTTGTATTTTTAATGTCAGGTTTGTTGTCATACATAGTCTTTAATACTTCACAGGGAATTACATTACAATGTGCACCTGTGTCTAATTTAACCTTTAATTGTCATTTATTATTGATTGTTATTGTTTCACACCAATCTTTCCCATTCTCAACAATCGAGGCTATAAATAACGATTCTACTTGCTCATGGAGGTTTACATTTTGTGGATTTTCATCAAGATTATCTTGATTCTCAAGCACATCGACTCGCTTTGACCTACATACAGTTGCAAAATGATTTAATTTCTTACAATTTGTACATGCTTTACCATATGCTGGACATTGTCGAATGGGATGAGTCCTGTTGCATCTGCTGCATCTCCGCGTTTGCTGACCCTTATTGGTGTCCCATGACTCCATCAAATGCCTATCTCCCCAATTGGAAGTCGAAACGGTGTTCGTTGAAGAAGCTGGCCGATGGCGTGGTTCCATCTTCTGTCGCCTATCCACATTTGATGATCCAGTCATTCTCATCGAGTGTACCTCCGTGTCTGATCCTTCAATTGTTTGAAGCTGAGCCATTGATAATTCAGCCGACTTGCACATTTTCATGCACTTATCCAAGTCTAAATTTTCTTCTCTCAAAAGTCGCATTTTGAGATCAGTATTATTCATTCCACAAATGATTCTGTCTTTTATTAAGCTATCCCTCAGTTCGCCGAAGTTACACGTGGTACTGAGTTTTCTGAGGTCGGTTATGAAGGATGTGAATGTTTCTCCTTGCTGTTGCATTCTTGTGAAAAATACATATCTTTCCACACTCTCGTTTGACCTCGGAGAGCAGAATTCCTCAAATGCACGCATCACATTGTTGTAAACTTTTTTCTCTTCGTCAGTAAGCGTAAAGATGGGAAATTCAGGAGCTTCTGGACCGATTAGATGAAGAAGGACAGCAATCCTTCTCTTCTCATCTTTCGTATCAAAGGCAGTTGCCATCATATACACTTCAAATCTTTCTTTCCATTTTCGCCAATTTTCTTTCAAGTTCCTTTCAAATGAGAGGGGAAGAAGGGGAGGCATGGACAAGTCCATTTCGTCTTCTTGAGATACCGATAAAAAAAATTCCTCGTCACTTTCGTTGGATGAAGAGTTTATATTTAAAGACGGACTTCCGTAATGTGGCGGGACGTCCTTTCTTTCATCACTTTCCATTAATACTATTACTTATCGGGCATCCTGTCTACAGCGCCATATAAAGTTTCTCATGTGCTGGATGTGGAGTTAGATATATCGTAGTCTTTATTAATAGTATCCAAACACGTTCTTAATCCGCTCTCGCTTGCTTACTTTCTGTCATACTGCCAACTTAACTCTACTAACCCTAAACACTACCAACTACTTATCACTTAACATGACAACGTGGAACACCCTGATATTGCAGAGGTGACATTTGTGATGCGTTGTTTCGCGTATGCACAGCGAATTTAGCAACAGTACAATACGAGTTTCAATAAATTGCTGTATCTGACATTTTTTACGGTGGTTCTGCTGGAAAAACTTCGTGACTCACGATGTTTGAAAATTACGTACGAATTGAAACTTACAGGGTCGGCAGTAAAAAAAGGTCTAGCACAGACATGACGTAAGGTGTCGCGCACGCGATACGACCTTCAGTAGGAGCCTAGGTGGGGATGCTTTAAATACTGTGAACGCATTATGGTCCGCTGTGTTATTGTGGCTATGGCACGAGGTAGGGAAAACTATTAGAGTAGGGAGAAATGAGTTGGCCATGCCTGAGCTACTCGATGCTGTACAGCGGGTAGGGGATTCATATTTTTGCACTAGTGTAGGGAAGAAGTCACCAGATCCTTCTGAGGCCCCTGTACTTTTACATGGGTTTTCTTATACTTTCAACTTTCTGCTATGTCATTGTTTCTTACGGCGGATGCATTTTTCGAGCCCAAAATTCCGCCGGAAACCACGTAAGATTTTTCTTACGGTACGTTACGTTATGGTAATCTTAATGGTCTATAATAAGTCTACGTCTTGTTTTGTCATCGTTTGGCATTGATGTTGCTAGATTTTTACATAATTTTGAAGCGTTAAAATAAAAACAATTTTAATGTAGGTCGTGGTAATGTGCGCAGGTTAAAATTGTTTTCATTTTCAAACGTCAAAATCATGTCAAAATCTAGCAGTATCAATACCAGATCGAGGATTGAAAAAAGCAAGATGTAGGATGGTATTTATAGTCGTTGCTTATTCTTAAGATCGTCTTAAGCATTTGCTATCCATGTCTGTCCCATGTTTCCAGTCCGTCTTGTAAAGGAAATAGATCTCAAATATAAGTAACGATTCTGAATACCGGGCATAGACCTGTTACTCGTTCTGTATTTTGTCTCCCTAGGAGGAATTAACACAAGCCCGAGCTAGCTCATTTCAGCAGATTCATTGTTACTAGTTGTACCATTTGTGGCCAGTACGTTATTTATGCCGATATATTAAGGATACAGACATAGACGTATGCAATTTCGGTAGCTCCTTATATTCTTAATAATAGTGTTTAATGGACGACTAGTGAGGAAGTCATTAATTATCATATTTTATAAAACTGTGAACCAAGTTTTTTACCTACAATAGTTATATCACATTACATGCATTGCTAAGAATTATGCAAGAATTTTAACGATATAGTCTTAAATAATGTCGAGATTACATACTGGCCAAAAATGATACAAAAAAAATGAAATTGTGTCATCTTTGGCTACACAGTGACACAAACAGTACATATTATGTTAGGGATCCGGGTTTAGAGCAATAATAATAGTGTCCAACCAAGCCGAAGAAGAACAACCAGAACAATTTATTCTTGTAATATTTTACAATATACGATAATAGCCAAAGCATCTTATCAGTAAGGCGGATCGGGGCGAATTAAATTCTAGGAATGCTAAATGCAGTGAAAAGGCCGATAGGCAATTGATAGATGAAATAAATGAATTATGACATTAGGATGATTAGGAACGATAGATGACGCTAAAGCCCATGAATCGTATATTAATTATGTTCTAACATATTATAATACACATCATAACAATTTTTGGCAAGTGGTTGAAGCAGTAGTAAGTAGTTGGCAGTATGTTTGTAATTAAGTAAAAACTACAATTTTTAGTACGCGTATTACTAATTACGGAAGTAGTTAGTTGATTGTCTGTTTAAAAAACTGATGTACTCTTCACTTCTTTATATCCATATTTTTAACATTACTTACTAAATTAACTAACTTTGTTTTGTTGTTTGTTTGTAAACTACTTTGTTCTTCGTATTTGTGTTATTCTTTTATTTTCTTTCAAGTCGTTATAAAAGCTTACCGATGAACAAAACAGTAATTACTATTAAAGGCTTTTTTCAGTTTAAAAGATGCCTGGCATAGATTGGATACCGGGCGTATCGCATGTGAAGTCCTTGGTTCAAGCGGTTACCGGTGATACTGAGGGTGCCGCAAGAACAATGGAAAATTTTCATAAGGAATGTCCGATAGTTTCACAAGTAACTTCTATAGTACAACTTGCTGCAGGAGATGCGGAAGGTGCATTAGAAACCCAGAAAAGATGCTTGGGTACCGTAAACAATGTCGCAAATGGTATTCCTGTTATTGGACATGCAAAAGGTGAATCGTACAGGAATTGGTTAAAAATAGGGCTGCATTTCCGAAAATTCACATATTCCGAATTAACACAATTCTGCGATGAGGATGAAATGATTGCGAAAATGATTTTTAGCGACTCGATAAAAAAATTTTACCATTTGAGTGCCATTATCTATGTTACCGACGAACTCACGACCGCGGGAATACGTCAAGCAGGTTTGAAAGCGGATCTGAAGTCAGAGAATCTGCTGATCTGCTGTTATCGTTTGCTGTTGATAGGTTGTAGACTTCTTTAAATCGACAATGTTTAGAGTCGAAAGTAAAATGCATATTAGTTTGCGCTCTCGTCCATTGGTATTCCAAACTAATTTATATCAAAATGAGTCGAATATATTTATCTTTTATCTACAAGAAAATGATTGATTCTGATGCAGCCATTTAATGGTTAAAGGAAATAGAGTTAATTCCCATGGAAAAGTACAAAGAGGATGTGACGTATATTGAAACTAATAGATCCTTCGGCTGAAAATAATAAATTTGTTTAATAAAAAGTGTGTTTGTGTTCAATATTTCCGAAACATATCCTTGTGAGGTGGTCGCCAAGAATACTTTGGGGTTTTAATTTTAGAATGAGAAAATAATTTTTTTTCTCAATAAAAATACTTTTACATGTCTTAAGAACAAAATATGATTAATACACGGCAATGACTGTGTCGGTAACGTAAGAAATAACTGAAATGGTAAAATTTTTTTTCGAGTCACTATCAATTTTTCTCACAATTACCATTTTTATCAAAAAACTTTGTCAAAAAAGTTCCTCGTGTTTTCATTCCAATATTTAAAGAAAATATACATACATACATTTTTAATTTATACAGGGTGTCAGATTAAATGGCGTGGTGTCTCATCGTGCATATAATAAATATATATTATGTATAGGCAAAAGAACTAAACCCTTGTGCGTTGCTTTCAAATAGGGGTTTCAATTTGGTTAAAATAAATATTATTTACATTATATACTCAAAAGTTTACCTGAAATAGAGACACATCGTTTAAAGTTTATTCTTCAAGTGTCAATTCCCTTTCATAATCTTTTCTTTAGTAATCACTTTGATTAAAATTTTGACTCAGTCTTCACACACCTTATCAACCATCATTCCGCCACGTCTCCTCTTTCGTCCCTACTCTACTAGCACTTGGAGGTGTGCCGCCAAATTTAAATTATAGAAATAATATTTGTTTTGAAATTTGTTTATCTCGCATTACTCATAACACCGTAAGAAAATCAAGTTTGGATTACTGGAGGCTATTCAAATCAGCAGCATAATATACATATTAAAAATAGATGTGGACAAACATTGAAGGGGAATGCTTTTTTTTCTTTAGGTCTTGTCCATCATGCTGTCGGGGATCATGAAGGTGGAAATCAAGCGTTTAATGCAGCAACTCGATCTACAGTTGTTGTCGCAAGTGGTGCCGCTGCTGGTATAGCAACAGGAGGTCCTTAATGTTAACTTACTAAAATTATATATGTACATACAGAATGCTTCGTTCATCTTGTCGAATTTAATACTTTCGTTGTCTTTGTAGATACTTTTGATAGAAAATATGTGATTTATCACTTTGATTAATATTGTTTTTTCCTTCTCGGTAGTTTGTTTATTTTTTATATTTTCTAGGTCATTGACATTTTCGTTCATAACATTTTCATCATAATATCGATATAGCTAATTAAAAAAGTACATTTCAATAACGTGTTGATCTTCAGTCATAAATTCATGTCAATTTGAAAGGAACTAAGGAATACAACATATTTCAATTTTTACCTGGATTTTTTTTATTATTTAGAAGAAAATGTACAAAAAAAAGATTTGCTGTGACAAACAACTATTGATAAACATCTTGCTGTGTGACAACTATTTCCTTGTTTATTTTTTATATGTGCTAAGGCAGCAAAGATATTAAAATGGAGAAGATAAATGAAATAACCCATACTAAATTACATTTTACGAAATTTTATAGTTACATCGCTACATCGACGATAATTTGACGAACATTCTAGGAATTGGCGCTATTCCCGCTGGAATAGCAGCTGGTGTTGGCTATGATGCTACTGCAAGTGCTATATCCGGTGAAGATCAAGGGTATATTGCAGCATTTAAAAATGCTGTCGATAATCCTTCAGCGGGCGCATTTATCGATGCGATCGCTATTCCAGTAGGTGATGGTTTGGCCGGCTATTCGGGAGGACAAATTGCGAATAAAATACACTTAAATAATTTAAAAGCTCTTAGAGCAGCTAAATTGGAACAGATCGATGCCGCTGCCACTAGTGGCGAAGCATTGAAACTTGGACGTGAAGCAAATGCTTTAACTGCGAAAATAAATACGCTTGAAACTGGTACTCCGCACTATTGGAATGATCCAAAGTCCGGAAAAGTTGCTGCGGAGGCATCCACTTCAAAAGTTTCAGTCCCGGTTTCTGGATACGTTGACAAAAATAAGCAGGAAGAAGAACAAATTGAAAATGTTATCGCAGGCATAAGGGATTATGTAGTCCTCAACAATGAGTTAGTATAAAGGGTGTCTCATGCAACTGGAACAGACTGTACCTCTTAAACGTTTAGGAATGGATGAAAATGTTATAAGGGAAAGTTAACCACATGACATACAATGACGTCTCCGAGACGTCAAGAACTTTGAGAATTTAAATAGTAGTTTTCGGACGCATCAAATTCTGTTTTATTTGTATGTCAAGTGATTAAATAGTATCAGACGCTGCATAATACGTAATTAAGTTTATGCACTTTTATGCATCGATGCATCTGAAAAATGCAACTGCACTTTTTTTTAAATAGAGACCTATATTTTTGACTGCATCAGTCGATGCAGTTTCTTGTGCTCTACAAAAAAGTACTAACATACGTATGCCCTAAAATTATTCGTTTGGAAATTATCGAAGCTTTAAGTTGTCTGAATAATTTCGATGTCCATCATCAATCATAAGGTGAACTTGCCGAGACACCGAAATTATTCAGAGAATTTAGAGCTTCGATAACTTCCAAATGAATAATTTTAGGGTATAAGTATGTTAATAGTTTTTTGTAGAGCACAAGAAACTGCATCGACTGATGCAGTCAAAAATATAGGTCTCCATTTAAAAAAAAAGTACAGTTGCATTTTTCAGATGCATCGATGCATAAAAGTGCATAAACTTAATTGCATATTATGCAGCGTCTGATACCATTTAACTTTCCCTTCCAACATTTTCATCTATTCTTAAACGTTTAAGAGGTACAATTTGTTTCAGTTACGTGAGACATCCTGTATAGTTTAAATAGTTCATTATTTCGTAAATTATTCGCTTTAGGAACGTTTCGATCAATTTTTACCTATTTATAGAAAAAGTATAATTTCAACTATCTTGAGAAATTCATTAATTAAAAAATTAATTCTTCGAATTCCCGCACGGTTAAATTTAACAATACTTGGGAATTATGCAGTTAAATTGATATGCGTGCTTTCTACTCTAGCGTTCTTTTTTTTTAAGAATTGACTGGAGCACAGCTGAGTAAACTAATAATAAGGGAATATATATAACAAAACGGAGTGAAATAGGTGGCATACATCGTGTGACGGTTGAGAACTCCAAAGGGATGCTGCAAGTGAAACAAATTATCATGCAATAAGAGAAATTAAATTTTCACTCATTTTCGTTTTACTTTTACAAAGATAGTGGCAATGATTGTTAAGATTCTTCCGACTGAAATGAGCCCAAACATGAATCTGACTAGTTTTATCAGTAATCATTTGAATTGTTTATGTCAATCATTAATAACGAATTAAAGTGAATTTAAACCGATGAATGTCATGTTTTGGTACATTTTAATCCGAAGGATTTCGACAATTCATCGATACGGTCATTATAAAGATAAGACGAGGATAATTGAAAATTAAGTTTTCTTTATTGCATGTTCATTTGTTTCACTCGTGGCATTCCTTGGACACACGTTTGTTTCTCTTATTTTTATTGTATTGACTTTTTATCCTTGTCTACTGATAAAAGACTTCGCTAAGGTCAAGTTTTGAGCAGTGGACATGACTCGCTTAAGTTTAACCGTGCACATTTTAGTCAAATTTAACCGTGCATTACTGTATGACACATATTTTTACAGCGTTTGCCAAGATACTGCTTTTGAACGAGAGGATGCATTATACCATGATTCATACGTGGAGGCAATTGAAGTTAAGGAAAACAGGAAACAAGCGCAAAAACAAATGTACGAACGTGACGAACAACCACCGAAGAAAAATATTTTTGATCTATTTTCGAGCGTGGAATTTACTACGCTATCCGATTTGCTGAAAAGTATTAATAAAGATCCAAATCGTGAGCCAAATCGTGATCCAAATCGTAAACCAAATAATAATTCGAGACCATTGTTAACGTTTCCGTGGTTACGTTTGGTTATGCCGGAAGAATTTCGATATACGGTAAAGAAAAGTTTTCATTATCATTAAACTTAATTTGAGCTTAATTCGTGTCAACTAGAGAAAACTAATCAAGAAAAGTTACTTCAGCAGACTCTTTTTCTTTTCAGGTAGTAGCTCAGTTAAACAGCTGTTATAGAGGCTTATATCACAGTTTCATTCGTCATATGAATGATTGGGCACAAGTTATTCCCTCTGATATTAGTGCAGCAATTGAACGTCTTTCTCCACTTCTGACCGAGATTGATCACGTTGTTTCCGCGAATGATCAATACGATGCTGCAGAAGCCACAAAGAAATTTTTAGAAGCTAGAAGAGGACTAGATTTTGAAGAATATGAAGGTAAGCGTAGTAACGATAAGTGCCCCTTTCTTTTATAACACATTATACATTAGACTGGTAGAGGTTTGCGAGTATCGAGTTTGGATCGATCCGGTAAAAATTCAGCGAGCTCAAACGAGAGCACGACACGTCGTATGAACCTGAAGGGTATGAAGTGGGGTAGGCATGGGCATGCAAGAATATCTCTCGGGAGCCACGGCCTTGAGTGCGTGCATAGGTGAGAATGCTTGAGTTATATGTAACGTACAGGTGTTCAACTTTATTTACGGAAAGTAAGAAGTGTGACTAGAATGGAGAAAAATGAATTGCCCATGCCTCAAGTAGGGTTTTCGGCGAGAGAGAGTGTGTGGGAAGACTTGCTAGTCGAAATTTAATGCATCCTACAGTTGAAAATACGTATTACAAGCCTTCCCGGATGTGCATTGCTTACATAGTCATGTCGTGAGCACACACTTACCTTATCATTACTTTGATATAATATTCATTACGTATTTTCAACTGTATGTACGTAAGTGGGAAGTCAAAGTCGCCTAGAAATGTATTGCGCTCGCTCTTCTCTGAAAACTATACTCATATTCTGTTTTTCATCGCCATTACAATGCCATGTCATTCTTTTAGCATACGTCGTGACGATTAAACGCGTTCTCGTACTGTTACATATTTTGAGTATATTCCTTGTAAATTGCATACAATTATAATAAAGTCCAACATAATGAAATAGCAATTTTTTTGTTTTAGATCTACAAAAAGCATTAGTTGAAATTCAAATGTCAATCCATCGTTTCATTCAAGAAAATATCACCTTCGACAATTATCAAGGAAGAAGTCTTAATATGAATGGTCAGGAGCGACTATATTTTAGAGTGGAAACGGAAGTGGGGACAAAAGCCATGGTTATTTGCCTATCGGAGCGACTTCAGCCTATTACAGGAGATGTGTGCCCAATAAGAATACTTGTAACGGTATACTTTGAATCATGGAATGATTTCAAGTCTCACGGTCTGCTTGAAACAAAAAAAGAAATGGAACAGAACAGAAAAAAATGAAATCTTTGTACAGTTTATACATATATATATA